TAGATAAGCTGATTATAAAATTTACATGAAAATGTAAAAAGACTTATAATAGCCAGATTTTTTGAAAAGGAAAGTGTAATGGGAGGATTCACATGACCCCTTTCAAGACATACTATAAGACAATAATAACCATAACAGTGTGGCATGGGCCAAAGATTAGACATAAATTAATGGAACAGAATAGAGTCCAGAAGTAGACCCACCCAAATTCAGTTGACTTTCTTTAAAATGTGCAAAACAAGTCAATGCACAAAGGATAGTCTTCAATAAATGATACTGGTGCAACTGGACATCCACATGCAAAAAAAGAAGAGGGAAAAGAAAAAAGTCAACTTATATCTCACACTTTACCAAAAATTTAACTTAAAATGGATCATAGAACTAAATTATGTAAAATCTAACATTTTTAAAGATATTTTTAAATTTATTTATTTGAGGGAGAGGGAGAAAGTGAGAACACTGAGGGAGAGGGAGGGGGAGAAGCAGACTCCCCACTCAGCAGGGAGCCCAACTTGGAGCTTGATCCCAGGATCCTGAGATCATGACCTGAGCTGAAGCAGATGCTTAACTGACTGAGCCACCCAGGCACCCCCAATATAAAACTTCTAGAAGGAAAAATATGAGCAGCCTATGTGGCTCAGCAGTTTAGCACTGCCTTCAGCCCAGGGTGTGATCCTCATGACCCGGGATCAAGTCCCATGTCAGGCTCCCTGCATGGAGCCTGCTTCTCCCTCTGCCTGTGTCTCTGCCTCTCTCTCTGTGTGTGTGTCTCTCATAAACAAATAAATAAAATCTTTAAAAAAAAAAGAAGGAAAAATAGAAGAGAATCTTTGTGATCTTGGGTTAGACAAATAGTTTATATACAACACCATAAGCATAATCCATAAAATTAAAATATTGCTACATTGTACCTTATAAAAAATGTTCGCTCTGTAAAAGAAACTTAGATAAATGAGGTCAGCCACAGACTAGAAAAAAGACTTGCAGGGCAGCCCTTGCAAGGCAGTCCATGGGTTAGCGCCGCCTTCAGCGTGATCCTGGAGACTGGGGATCGAGTCCCATGTCGGGCTCCCTGCATGGAAGCCTGCTTCTCCCTCTGCCTTGTGACTCTGCCTCTCTCTCTCTCTCTCTCTCTCTCTCTCTCTCTGACTATCATAAATAAATAAATAAATAAATAAATAAATAAATAAATAAATAAATAACAAAACAAAAAAAAAGAATGTCACTTCTCTCCAGGATCACACCCTGGGCCTCAGGCGGCACCAACCCGCTGTGCCACCAGGACTGCCCCCAGTATAATGTTCTCAAAGTTCATCCATGCTGTAGTGTGTATCAATGCCTCATTCCTTTTTATAATCCAGTAATATTCTTGTTCTGGGTATACCACGTTTTGTTTATCCACTCCATTTACCTGACCGTGGATATTTGGATTGTTTCCCAATTATCCAACTTTTAACAATTGTGAATAGTGCCACTACAGAACTTGTGCTTTTGTTTGAACAACAGTTTTCAATTCTTTGGGGTATATACTAAGCGTGGAATTGGTGCCTCATATAGTAGTTCTATGTTTAATTTATTGATGAAACACCAAATGTTCTGCACCATTTTGCATTCCCACTGGCACTGTATCAGGGTTACAACTACTCCACATCTTCACTAAACTCGTTATCTTCCCTTTTTCAGATTCTTGTCATCCTCGTGGTTATGAAGGGGTATCACATGTGGCATTGCTTTGCATTTCCCTAATGACTAATGATGTTGCATCTTTTCACGTGCTTATTAGCCAGTAAAATAGCATTTTTAAACAGGGGATTACATGTAAATGTAACACATTTAGATGTAAATAACATTTTTTTTACTTCTATGAAGATTATATATAAATAAAAGCTGGATGTATATGAAAGAAAATATGAACAGTGATTATTTTGACGTTTGAGTTATGGGTATAAAAATGATTTTTATTTCTCACTTTTTCTTCTTGTGTTTTCTCTTATGAAGATATATCATTTTGGGGATATGAAAAATAATTTAAGAACTTGGCAAAGAAAAACACATGTGATTTTCAGCTTAAAATGTATTAAATATTTATTCATTTCATCTTGCAATGCTCCTTTCATATTTTGCCCCAATCTGTGGGCCCTAGAAAGGTTTTGAGGCCCTGGACTCCGTACCCCCAAAAGGGGGGGAGGCGTTGCTCCTACAGCTTGAGAGGAGCGAAGTCCGGGGTCGGCCGCTGTCCCAGGTGCTGAAGGAGGTGGTTCCACTCCCCCACCCTCCACTTTCTCCTGACTATTGGGACCCCCAAGACCTCCACCTCCTGAAACCTGTAGGCAAAAAAAGAAGTCCAGATCATGCTTCTCTAGCAGAAAAAATTGTTTTTTCATTTCCTAGCTTCAAGACCAGCTTGGCATCAAAGGCCCTTGGAGTTTCTCAGAGGTAACTATGGATATTTAGAACTAACTGGGTCTTCTAATGATAGTTTTCTTCAACAGAAGGTTGCCACATTTCTCAATACTTAAATTTAACTTTTGTGACTAAAGCTTTTTAAATTTTAGAACGTTATGGAAAAAGAAGAGAGAAGGGAACATTTTAACCCTCACTGAGTACTGATGCTTACCAGATAGACTCAATGATGTTGCACATGCTGGCTTATGCAATCTCCCCATCAGTGTAATAAGGTGGCTATTACTATACGGTAATGGAACTGAGGTTCAGAGAGATCAACAGTTTTCCCCCAACCCAAACAGCTAGGAAACAGCAGACTGGGATTGTGACCTTGGTAATATAACTCCAAGGTGTGCTGGATCCAGAGTCATCTGACCCTAACTGCATTTAATTATCTGCAAAGAATAGTCTTATCCTCTTGATCCAACATGGAGCTCCAGCTACCCACACCACCCCAAAAAGCAGAAAAGAAGAAGGGAGAAACTGGACAGAGAGAATGTCTAGCTCTCTTTCAGGGGGGTCTCCAGAATTATCAGGTACTCTTTGACTTCTCCAAAAGGGCAGCGTATAGTAATTTAGCCAGTTGAGTTTCAAGAAAAGCTTTCAAATATTATTTGTATTTCAGCCTGCCATGCAGCTAACTAAAAACTAAGGACTACAAGAAGGCAAAAATGAACAGCAGAATACACAGTTAGTAGTCTCTGACACCATCCATCTTATTGACTACCAAAGCATCCTTGTGTACTCCTCTTCCTACACGAGGAACATCCCCAGGAAGGTCCACCTTAAAGTCAATGTACTCTCTCCATTTAGCCCAGGTTCCAAGATCTCTGGGTGATGTGCTGTCCTCTCCCTTAAGCCCTAATGTGAGCTTTTTCCTGGTATGGGAATCTACACTTAAAAGCAATTATCACCCTCAATACATTCAAAAGTTGAGTAATAACTGGATTGTGACCATTTAAAATTCCAACTGAGACTTTCTGTTCCCACTAATGGTAATCTAGGTTATTTAGGTTAAACTTTTTTAAAAAAGATTTTATTTATTTATTCATGAGAAACAGAGGGGGGGGGCAGAGACACAGGCTCCATGCAGGGAGCCCAACGTGAGACTCAATCCCAGGTCTCCAGGACCACGCCCTGGGCCAAAGGCAGTGCTAAACTGCTGAGCCACTGGGCTGCCCTTAGGTTAAACTTTTAATTTTTAAAAAATAACTCTCATAATTGGATACTTTTCCAGTTTCTTAAATAAATACATGACCAGTAAAGACAGTAAAGAATTACAAAGATTCCACTCAAATGAAAATAGAAGCCAAGAGCTAACTGAACATGAATTATACTTTTGCTCTGGAGGCATTTCTCAAGTCAGGAAAAAGTGAAGCTGTTTTGATGGTCTCTTGATTGATGTAGGAAAGACATTAGAGTTCGAAGCCAATTGCCAAGAAAGAATTATTGAGACATCTTTGGCACAAAAAAGGTGGTTTCATAAAACTATGGGGACAGGAGTCATGGGCAAAAAGAGCTGTACTGGGGTCATGAGGTTGGCTCATTATATACTTCAAGTTGGGAGGGGAGCATGTCTCTGAGGAATTTTGAAAGCAAGGTTTCCAGGACCCTGAGGGGCCTAGCTATGATTGGAAAAAGGTCACTTATTACTGTCTAATAAAACCTTAGTCATGAGACCCTGCAGATATATATTGGTAGGTCATATGCTTGGGGAATGATTGCCAACATGTATCTTGGGGATAGAGATAAAGGAAGTTTCTAAAGGAATTTTCATATGTTAAAGTAGACTTACAGGATCCTAAAGGTTGGACTAAGATTGCCTTTAATGGGGCACTTTGGTGGCTCAGTGGTTGAGCGTCTGCCTCTGGCTCAGATCGTGATCCTGGGGTCCTGGGATAGAGTCCTGCATCAGGCTCCCCACAGGGAACCTGCTTCCCCCTCTGCCTATGTCTCTGCCTGTGTGTGTGTGTGTGTGTGTGTGTCACGAATAAATAAAACCTTTAAAAAAAAAAGATTGCCTTTTGTCCTTAGCAAACTATTAATATCAAGGCAATTGAGTGTCTAAAGGAATGTCACCCTGCTTTTTTCAAGGACTTTCAATGGGCTGTAAAGTAGTAGGAAATTTAATAATTTTTCTTTTTGCCTTGTTTCCTACATCAATGATCAGGGGAGAAAAACCAAAACCTACAGTGATAGGAGAAAGAGGAATTGCAAGAAGACCCTCCATACATAAGTAGAAACCTCAAAAAGCTCCACCCCTCAAGGCAAGAGCACACAGAGTGGAGGAGCCTACAAGTGTGATCTCAGCTAGAATTTAAACTGCCTTCGTGATCTTGGGCACCACAAGCCTTGAACTTCACCTAACATTATCTTCAACCAGCAAGTCTCCAAGACTTCCTCCTTAGACAATGCTACCTTCTTCAAATTCTACAAATGTTATTTCAAATATGATAAACTCCCAGGCGAAGATAACCAGGCACAAGTACACCAACCCTACCAGTGAAAACCAGCAAAAACAGCAGGCTATTTAACAAATAAAGTGATTTCAATGATCAGACACACAGGATAAAGTATCTATATTTTGCCATGTTTAAGTATACACGGTAACCATAGAAACACAGTGAAGGATTAGGAGGTAAGAAAAGTTCGGGTATATTAGATAGGAACAGAGGTCAGGGCGATCAGAGTGTGGTGCCACTATGGGCCCTCCTCTGACCCAGAACCTCAAACATGCCCCTTAACTCAGTCCTTAACGCTGGTCCCTCTCCTGTTAAAAAAAAAAACACCTCCCATGGCTCCCTATTGCCTACGGGACAGACTCCCTTAATGGGCTCTGAGAGAACCTGCCATCAGCTTGGGGATCTGGGATGAGCTGGAAGGGCTCTCAGGGCCGGGCCCAGACCCAGGCTCCCCTCCACCCCGCCTCGCCCCACCCCACCCCCGGCCTTCCCGCGGGGCCCACGCGCCCCCTGCTGGCTCTCCGTGAGGCTCGCGCCGGGGAGACCACGCGCTTCTATCCCCGGGAACCTGCAAAGCGAGGCGCGCGGGTCCGGCTGCGCCCGGCCGGGAGCTGGCGGGTCACTGGGGGCGCGCGCTCAGCGGCTCCACGCGCAGCCAAAGTCCGCCCTCGGCGCGCAGGATGAGCTCCGGCTTCCTGCGCGGCTCCTCCTCGTGGGGCAGGACCCTGAAGCGCAGCAGCGTGAGCGCCAGCACCACCTTCATCTCGCTCATGGCGAACGCCTGCCCGATGCAGTTCCTGAGGGCGGAGGGGGGCTCGCACTCGCCAGGGAGCCCGGCAGGGCCCATCGCGCCCAGAACCCAGCCCGGGCGGGACCCGCATCGCCGCCCGCAGGGATGCACAAGGGGGCTGACGTGCCTGGGACCCCGCTGGGGGCTCGCCCGTCCATCCCGGGAGCTGGGCCCAGACCCCAGCCTTGAACTCAGGCCCGCAGACGCGCGCGCGGCAGAGATGCTGAGCACCCCGCGGACCCCTCGTTGGACCCAGCCGCCCCCACTCCCCACACCCTTACTCCTAACCTCCGGAGGAGGGGAGACCAGGAGAGCCATCCTCAACGTCCCCCCTTTCCCTCCCCCACAGACTTTCCTGGGATCTCAGTCCCAGACCCCTGCCCCCACCACCCCATTCCCACCTCACATACCCTCTTGGCTCACCTGGGCCCAGCAGAGAAGGGAATAAAAGCCAGGGGAGACCTCTTCTGGAGGATTTCTGGGTCAAAGCGCAAGGGATTGTACACCTGGGGGCACAGAGAGGTAGGGCTGCTGGTCAGGGTTTCTCAAGATACCTATACCCAGATACAAAAGACAAGTGGATACAGTGGAGGGGGATTATAGGACACGCCTGGTCAGGACTCCGCCCCCTCATCAGGTGGTGGGATAGAGAAGAGGGATGCGCAGCACCTCAGGATCCGGCCAGACTGACGGGTTGTGATGAATCCCAAAGATGCTGAGGACACAGTTGTTCCCTATGGGAGAGAAGGGGAACAGTCAGGATGAGGTCTCAGCTGATGGGACCACCACCCTTCTACCCCTGATGCTGTGGGCACCTTTGGGGATAACACGGCCATCGGGGAGCACGATGTCCTGGGTACATCGGCGGGCAATGACTGTGACAGGTGGGTGCAGCCGCAGACTCTCCTTGATGCACATGGTCAGGAAGGGCAACTGGGCTAGGTCGTCCCTAAGGAAGCCCCCCAACAATTATCCACGAATCGTATCAAAGACACCCCCCCAAACCCTCCTTCTGCTCCTGGAGACTCTCCCTTCCTTGCTCTGACCCTCACTTCTATAACAAAATAAACTCCAGATGAGCCAAAAATTTAACCACTAGAAAATGAAAATCGAGACGTCCGGGTTGCTCAGCGGTTAAGCGTCTGCCTTCGGCTCAGGGCGTGATCCCGGAGACCCAGCATGGAGTCCCACATCGGGCTCCCTGCATGGAGCCTGCTTCTCCCTTTGCCTGTGTCTCTCCCTCTCTATGTGTGTGTCTCTCATGAATAAATAAATAAAATCTTAAAAAAAAAAGAACAGCTTAACAATAACCCACAACCCTCAGACCAACTGGGTGATGGGCACTGAGGGGGGCACTTGGCAGGATGAGCACTGGGTGTTATGCTATATGTTGGCAAACTGAACTCCAATAAAAAAAATTTTTAAAAAGAAAATGAAAATCACAAAAGTCACTACTAGAAGGAAATTTAGCCTAGCATTCTTAGAAGTATTTCTGAGAAAAATACAACAGTCACAGGGTAACCTTTTGTTGTTGTTGTTGTATATTTTTTTATTGGAGTTCGATTTGCCAACATATAGCAAAAAACCCAGTGTTCATCCCGTCAAGTGCCCCCTCAGTGCCCGTCACCCAGTCACCCCATCCTCCCCACCCACCTCCCCTTCCACTACCACTTGTTCATTTCCCAGAGTTAGGAGTCTCTCATGTTCTCACAGGGTATCCTTAAAAGCGTAGTATATTTGCATAAGAAAGTTTTTTTTAGTTATTCAATTAGCTGAAAATGAAATCTTGGTACTGGACTTAACAGGTTATTTGAACAAATAAGACCCACACTAAGGTGGGATGACCTAATAATAAAAAGGTGTGGATTCTTTCTAAGTTAATCGATATATTCAGTGCAATCAAATAAAAATCTAGTTGATATTTTTGGAACTCGGTAATTTTATTCAATTTGAAAAAATTAAAGTTCAAGAGCTCTATCAATTTAAAAATAAAAGATCAAAGAAAGACAATTCATCCACTGGATATTAAGACCTATTATAAAAGTGTGGTAATAATAAAGAAAATCACAGCATGGCACTGTTGCAAGAACAAGAAAATAGATCCATGGGACAGGATAGAGAGCTCACAGACAGGCATGTAAATAGGTGAAAATATGGCATCTGGTAAAGGAGGTTCTACAACCCCGGACAATGGATGGTTCAGACAACTGATTATATGGAAACAAAAAGAACCATCACCATGCACTCCATATACAAGATGGAGTCTTCTCTTATACATGAACAGTAAAACCATAAAGTTAAAAGAAGATATAACATAGAGACATCTTTGTGATCTTTAAGTTGGAAGAATTCTTAAAAATCCCAAAACATAAACTGGAAAACCAAAAAAAGGAAAATGAAAAATATGCACAGAATTAAGGATTTCTGTTTAACAAAAGGCACCATGGACCAAATTAACATTCAGATGAGAAACTCACAGATTATCAACAATAAACATATGGATCTAGAACAATATCATGAATATACAAGGAATTCCTGCAAATCAACAAGAGAAATGACAGGCAACTCAAGAGATAAGTAGACAAAGGACATGATCTAGGAATTCATGGGAGCTCAAACTCAGAGATTTAAAACATGAAGAGAAGTTCAAAGTTATGCAAGAAATGGAAATTGTATAGCAATGAGCTATTACCTCACATCTATTCGAGGGTAGAGTTAACAAGCTGGGTGATGGTAAGGATTAAGTAGCTGGTGTGTAGGAGTAGAGATCCCATGTGCTGATAGTGAAGGTACAGACAGGAGCCACCACTCTGGAGGCATCATTGTGGTCAAAGAAAGGCAAGGTATGTTTTGCGACCTAGCAAGCTGGCTCTCGGGCATAAAACACAGAGAAATTCTCAGGCAGACAAGGACATGCACACCAAGATGTTCATTGCAGTAATGAGATTGAGCTCTCCTGGATGTTCAGCTCTAAAGGACTGGAAAGGGAAGTTCTATATGACAATTCAAAGCATTAACCTAAAGGTACTTAGAACCAGGGATGTCTAATAAAATCATAGTACTATGTTTCTGAAAAAGGTAAGAACCAGCAGAGGTCTGTGATATAACACATATCTGTGAATTTTAAAATGCATTCACCCAAAACAACAAATTATGCAAATAAAAGGATTAGACACTCTAGAATTATATTGGTGGGGAGCTGGAAGTGGAGAATTTGAATGAATGGAAATAAGTATTGCATTAAAAAATGATAAGTAGTCATGAATTGAGGGCCACAGTTAACTTCTTCCTTGGCACCTGACGTCCAAATAACTAATTAAAATTTTCAAGGCTATTTTTCAAACTACCCAGTCCAATCACAGAGTTCAAATGAAAAAAATAAAAATTCAAGAAAAAAATGTAAAGGCAAAGTAATGAAATAGGAAGAACTTTATCGAGTACGAAAATGTTTTTTAATATGATCATAAAGACTGCTTAGTGCTTATATATGAATATATAAATAGAACAGAATGGAGCCCAGAAATAAACCCCAATAAATGGACAAATTTTGTTTATTGTAAAGCTGCTATTATTTAAAGTACTAAGACAAATACAAAATATGTAACAAAATCTGTTGAAATAGTTAGCCATTTGAAGGAAAAAAAATAGATTCCTCCTTCAGTACTTACACCAGTATAGATTTCATATGGAAAAAGGATCAAATATAAGAAATAATAATAAAAATATTAAGTAAAATTTAAATTAAATAAAATGGTTTTAATAACTAAATCCATTAGAAGAAAACAAACAAGTTTTACAGTTTAGCATTAGAGTGTGAAGAGCTTTTTCTTTTATTTATTTATTTTTTTAATTGGAGTTCAATTTGCCAACATTAGGCATAACACCCGATGCTGAAGAGCTTTTTCAAGCATTAAAAAAAAAAGAAGCTATTAAAAAAGTTAATAAATGTGACCACAAATAAATCAGTGAAAACTAAAATAAAGTCAAAAGACATCCTGGGAAAGAATTTTTTCATAACAGAAAAGGAACTAGTTCTCTTTATATTTAAAGAGTCCTAATAAATCAATTTTTAAAAAACCTCAAAGTAAAACGGACTAATTATGCAAACTGACAGCTTCACAGAAAAAGAAATATGCATGGTTCATAAATGTAAGAATAGTGCTGTTTTACCAACACTTAAAGTGATGTTCATTAGAAAAACAAAGTATTATATTCACCTAACAGATTGGGGAAAGTTTTAAAGTTTCATAACACACATTGTCAGAAAGTATGCAAGGAAATTGGCACTCTGAAAATCTGTTTGTAGGAGTGGACTTGCCAAGAGCTATTAAATTGTGAAAACTCAAATGGTCTTTGATTCAGCAACACTACTTCTAGAAATTTGTTCTGGAGAGACATCCACACACATGAGCAAAAATCAGGGTACACGGATGTTTGCTATGTCATGTTTATTACAGCAAAACGTCCCAAACTACACAAATGTCCATCGACAGAGGAAATGTTTAGATAAATTATGGTACATTCATGTGATGGCATACTGTGCAGCTATCAAAAAGGTGGAAATAGGGATCACTAGTCCTAACATACACAATAGGGTATATCAGTACGGAGATGCTGAAAGGAATTTCAGCAATATCTGTCATACTATAAATCTTCACATAAACGCCCTCAACAGAGTGGGGAGCTGAAAAACTTATGCAATGCTATACAGTGCTCAGAAAGGAGCTCTAAGCTGTAATATTGAGTGAAAAGAACAAGTGACCAAATGTATGGGCGCATATTTCTATTAAACTATAATAATCATATAAATATAAATATAAGAATTTCAGAAAAGCCTGAAAGAACATATGACAAACTGATATCCCTAGAGACCCCTCAGGAGACAGGGGATTGATTAGGCTTGGGGTTCACCTAATTTTCAAAAGTGAACATAATTTTCTCCATAGTGTTTCATTTTGTGCAAGAAACAATAAAAAGTCTTCTTCCCATTATTGATTTTGTAATTCAAATTAATTTCCCAAACTTATATCTTGGGGGGGGGGGAAGAAAAGACCTTGAAGTTATATTCTCAACACGCATGCCTGAATGTTCTGTGTATACTTTCAGTTGTAGAAAAAAAACTGAATGAGCAAAGTAACAGAGATGGAGGACAAATACATGTGGGTATAGGCTGAACATTGGAAGGTGGGGATGGGATTGGGGTGCTGGCATAAGACGGAGGCTTATGTGAGATAATAGAAGAATTTAACCTTTTACTCATCTTGCAATATATACGTATATCAAATCCTTGTGTTGTACACCTTAAACTTACACAGTATTATGTGTCAACTATACCTCAACAAAGCTAAGAAAGGAAAAAGACGAAGACTTATATCCATGGCAAACCATTTCATGCTGTTTGAATTTTTACCAGGCACATAATTGAAGTTGGGAGATGCACACAAAGACTTCTCCACTTCACAGAACTGCTGTGCTGAGCAAAGCCTTGAAGTTGAGGCCACTACCTCCAAAGTGTCCAGTTCAACATCTTCTCTGCATCTTTCAGCCCTTGGCCACAAATCTGCCCCCACCCCAGACTCCCAGGCTCTAGCTCATCCTCTCCCAGTTTGCCCCTGTAGCTACAGATATTTTTAATAAGAATATCTGGGGGATCCCTGGATGGCTCGGCGATTTGGCGCCTGCCTTTGGCCCAGGGAGCGATCCTGGAGTCCCGGGATCGAGTCCCACGTCGGGCTCCTGCAGGGAGTCTGCTTCTCCCTCCTCCTGTATCTCTGCCTCTCTCTCTCTCTCTCTCTCTCTCTCTCTCTCTGTCTATCATAAATAAATAAATAAATCTTTAAAAAAAAAAAGAATATCTGACTTTTCTCTCCAGCCCATGCTTTCTTGCATGGCTCCCAGCCAATAATAGGGCACAGTGGGTCCTTGCTTCCTGAGCATTTCTGCCCAACGTGAGACTCTCCTAACGGCAGCATCCCTGCCCACTTTTATCTTTTATCCAATATTGGCTTCCCAGAAAATTGAACTGACACATTTGGAAAGTCTTCACAGGGTTTCCAAAGCATTCCAGGAAGGACTAGCCTCACTGAAAGCCCCTCTGATTCTTTACACTGTAAATTTCATGAGGCTCTAGCCACTTTTACCTCCTCCCTAACAAGCCAGGCTCACTCCTGCATGCCTCCATCCTGGCCTTTGCACAAGACCTGGATGTCCACTACCCACAACCAGAGTGGTGAATTCTTATTTGCTGCTTCACTATCCAGCCTCGCCCACCTTCTTTCCTCTATGTGTCAGCCTTGTCCAGGTAAGACTCGAATGGGACTGGACACGGAGTTGGGAGAGGACAGATAGTGTGGACACGTTTACCAAACAAAGAAATGGGTAATAATTTTTACACCCAAAGACCTCTTGTGAATGCCTGGAATAGATTGTTTAGAATCTATAATTAGATATAAGAGCACAAATTAAGGGGAGTAAGGGTCTTTGGGGGGAAATGTGTAACCTCAGGCAGAAAAGCAAAGGAGGGGAGAAGTTCGTTTACTGAACACATGCTGGATGGCATCTGTTCTAAACACAGTGTCACAGTTCTCCAAGCAGCCCTGTGGAGGAGAGATTCCCTGCCCCACCCCATTTACAAAGGAGAAAAGTGGTATTCAAAAAGGGGAACTGATTTTATTAAAACAGAGCAATAAATATGGACACACATCTTTCTGTTTCCCCTGTTCTCCAGGCTGGTTACCAGCCTGCCTCCAGGCTCCACCCCTATTCCCAGGAAACAATAATGACAAAATTAACAAAAAGTTCTTTCCCCTTCCCCAGCTGGGAAACAAAGCCTATGAGAAGGGTTCAAGAATAGACCATAAGGACCTGCACTCACCATTCAATCTCTTGAGGCTCACGGTCCCTCAGGAGCTCTTGCACCTCCTGCCGGCAGCGCTCCTGGTATTCTGGGTGTTTTGCAAGGTTGAACAGGACCCAGGAGAGGCCACTGGCTGTGGTGTCATGGCCTGAGAGGCAGCCAGACAGGCTTGGGTCTCTGGGCTTGTTCAGCACCAGAGGGTGGGTAGCTCCTTTAATTAAGGCCCTCAGGGAAGATGGGGAGGATAGGGTGGGATGAGGTGGTCCAGGGTCCACCTCCCAAGTTCCTGGGATTGGACAGACTCCTGTCCCCCTGTGGTCCCACACTGAGATACTCACCCTCAAACATGAAAGTGTCAGCTTCAGCTCGAATGTCCTCATCTGACAATTGTTTTCCCTCTTCATCCTGGAGAAAGGGCAAGATTTCTTGAATCAGACCAGCTCTGAGGGTGTCTGAGTCTAATCTGAAACAACTCCTCAGGCTCCATCATCAAAGCAGGATCCTCCCTCATCATCTCTAGAGCCCAACCCACAGGTCTTCTCCCTGGTCTCCAGCCTCCTATTTATCCCCTCCAGGAAGCCTTCCACAGAGTCATGTCTAAAATGTGTTCCTGACCCATCTCTCCCTTCCTCAAGTACCTTCCATGGCTCCCCAGTACCCTCTGGATCAAGTCTAAGTTCTCCCATATGACATTTGAAGTCAAGCTCCATTCTATCTCTTGAATTCTGATCCCAGGGAAGCCCACCTTGGCCAGCAGGAGGACATCAATGAAGTCCATTGTTTTGGACTTAAGAAAGTCACAGGAGCCTCTGCTAATGAGGGTATGGCGCCGCTCCTGGATGATAGCATCTGTGAAGTTGTGCACCAGTTCGCAGGCCCTGCGGAAGCGCCGCCCATCAGGGCTGAGATTGTACAGGAAGTCCAAGTACAGGAGGACCTGCTCATTCCGTTTCACCACAAGGGCACTGAGCTCCAAGATGGCAGCAATATATTCACTGGGACTCCTGCAGGGCAAGAAAACCTTAAGAAACAGCTTCTTAACCCACATGAAACCCTAGAAGCACCTTCCAACCAGAAACCCACAAGCATGACACCCTAGACGCACCTACCAACCAGAAGCCCAGAGGCACTGTAGCACCTACCTTGTTCATCATAGCCCCCTGGCCTTTATCCAAAACAGAGACATGCTTCTCCAGGCATGCTTCTCCCTCTATCCCACCTCTATGAATGGTCTCATGTCCCAGACTCCAGGACAGAGCTTGGGTATCATGCTTGTCTTCCTCTCTTTCCTACACAATATATGACCCTGACCATTCTTCCTTAGTTTCTCCCAAATCTGCTCCCATTGTCTTCACCAAATTCAAGCCTCCTATTCTCCATGGTCTCCTTGAATTCTATATCTATACAACAATTGGTCTTCTCTAAAGTCAGATGTACAAAAACAGCTTTGACCATGACCCTCAACTGTTCAAACACCTTCCATGCCTGCCTGGAAACCTCAAGATAAACTTCAGATGCCTTTTCCTGGCTTTTGAAAGTCCTTAAGACACAGACCCTGCCAACCCATCCAACCTCATTCCCAAGGTAGCTCTTCACTGTGGCACATGCTTTGCTCATCATAGCCCCCTGGATTTTATCACATATTTCTACCTACCTGAAAGGATCACTCTTTCTCTTTCTTTCCCTTGTCCTCAATGTCTAGTTCTGATCCATCTTCTCCAGGAAGTCCCTTCTGATTGTGCTAATCAGCCCTCCCTTCCCCATCTACTCCCTTGGGTCTATGGCTAATGTTTCAGACCTTGAGCAGAGACTTACTCCTGGCAATTGCTGTCAAAACTGAAGACACATTTCTGCAGACTGTCCAGGGTCATGAGGCTGATGTGCTCAAACATGTCTAGATGGGTGCTGCCTTCTGACACCAGGCGCTTCCACTTGGCCTGGGCAGAGAAAGCGGCAAATCTTGGGCTGGCCCCTGCCTCCCCTGAGCTTCTTCTCAGCCCCAACCACCAGGATGGACTCCCCCAGGCCCAGCCTCCTTATCCTCCACCTCAGACACCCATCTCCAGGAAGCCCAGGCTAGCTTGGGTGGGAGTGAAAACTGTTACTATTAAGAACCCCTAAGGGAAAAAAAAACATGGCTGGGAGTCAGAAGACCTGAATTCAAATCCTGGCTCTACCTCCTACACTCGGTGTGCCCTTGGTCAATTCATTGCTTTCCTCCTGTCAAAGCTCATTGGGTTCTACCTGTCAAAGATATAGTAACAGTTAAGATTACTTGCTTTGGTGTGACAAACCAGGTTGGGATCCCAGCTCCACTTATTAGCTCATCTGCTAGCTGTGTGAACATGGCAAGTTCTCTAAACTCTCTGAGCCTCAATTTCATCACATGAAACCATCAGGGGCAATAATAGTCACCTCTACCTCATATGGTTGTGAAAATTAAATTAGACAACATATGCAATAGAACTGGTGCATCATTTCTGGTATACAGCAAGTGCTGAATAACTGTTAGCTCTCATCCTCATCTTCATCATTATCATAGTGGTAGGTGACTGTTGAAAAATGTCCCCACTTCTTCATCTCTCTCTATACCTTCACCCTTTGCAACGAGGTTTTGCACGTCTTCTATTAGGAGGTAGAACCTCTTTGTCCAGCTCTTGATTCTAGCTGGATGTGGGACTTGTTTTGGTCAACAGAAGAAGGTGGAAGTCATATTTGCCTGGTTTGAAATTAGGCTTCGAGAGGTATTGCATGTTTCTCTTCATTCTCTTGGAGCCCAGCCTTCATCGGGTGATCAAGCCCAGGCTAGCCTACTGGAGGATGAGGGACAAATGCAGGAGTCCAATAATTCCTCCAAGGCCATCCTCAACTAGCACCCCAAATGTGCAGCAGAGCTGAGCCTGGATAAGCAGAATTGTCTTCCAAGCCCACCCATGACCACAGACATATGAGTGATTCCAGCCAACATAAGAACTATTCTATTGACTCATCATCTTGTGAGCAATAACAAACACTAATTCTTTCAACCCAGTGAGTTTTAAGATGGAGAGCTATGCAGAAAGAGCTACTATATAATCTTCATCTTAAATTTTACAGAGTTTCAGTGAGGCAGACTACAAACTAAAACCTTATGAGCACCTACTATATGCCAGGATCATGATTCCATTACAACGTCTTGACCACTCTTTAAGAAGGGCTTATTGCCCCCATTTTACAGATGGGGAAACTGAAGCTTGGGGAGGAAAAGGAATGGCCCTAAAGCCATTCAGCAAAGCCAGGACTTCAGATCATATGTGTCTGAGGCTGCTCCCCTTTTCCCAAGGCTCCAGCTGGGACCCTGGGTTTTAGGAACTCACATGCATGATGTCTGCACTTCTGTTGAAAATCTTCACATAAGATTTCAGGATTTCAAAGTGGAAGGCAGGTGTCAGCAAGCGGCGGTGGTGGCTCCACTTGTCACCAGCACTCAACAGGAGCCCATCCCCTAGTAGAGACAGTCACAAGGAGTGGGCAAGAGCAGTGTCTTCTACTGAGACCCCATAGTTGTCCCCAACCCCCTTCATCCACGTTACTTACCCAGCCAGGGCTTCAGGAAGTTGTAGAAAAACATGTCCTTGGGTACGATGGTGGCTGACACAAGAGATAGACCATCAGGTGCCATGGAGCAGAGGTGGGAAGGGGCTTTTGGTTGGGAGGTGGAGGATCCCAACAGGGGTCTGCATACCTCCTCCAAGCCCAGCACAACAGGAATGGGAACAAGGGTAGAGAAAACAGAGAGGAGTGGGGAGGTGAGGGGACACCAGACCAGGCTACAGCACAGAGTGGAACAAAGGCAGAGGCCACAGACACACCCCTATGTACTTAGATACACACTAACATGGCACAACACACCCCAACATGGCTTGACATGGCCTACCTGGTCCAACATGTTTGAAACTCCCAAGCACAAATTGGTACTCCACAAAATGCCTTTACAGGGACCTAGGACACTATATCTGTCCCAGAACCCCCTGACATCTCTTGGGAATTCTGACATGGCCCCAGCATGTATGAACATGTCCTGGCATGAAACATCATGCATAATATATATTGACATGACAAAACATGCTCTGACGTGGGCCCAAAGACAACCTGACATGACCTCAGTGTGTCCCACAAATGGTCCTGAACAGGACTTAAAGGTCTCATTAATGTCCCAGACGTGGCCCAGGTGTGACCTAGCCTTCCTCAGTATCCCCTTCCACGTCATACTCATCATTAAGTGCTTAGGTAAGGGGTTCCTGTGTCCTTAAAGAGATCAAAGTCTACTGACATCCTCAGATGCTGTGCTCCTCCCACCACAAAGAGAGCCGCCACTGCTCCCTTGGCCTCTAGACCAGCCCCAACCAGACACAGTTAACCAGCCTGAGGTTTGGTAGATCTTCCCCCACAACACTCTGGTCATCTTCACCCCCAAAATCCCCTCCAGCTTAGAGTCCCTCTCAGCAGAGGCAGCTAGAGCAGCCAAGAACACAGAGAAGCAAGAGAGAAGCTTCAGGATACTATGTAGCCTTCAGAAGTTAGTATGCCTCCTTTAGTCTTGGTTTCCTCATCCAGGAAATGCCCACTAGCAGGGATGCTGATGAATGGACACCTGTGCTATCTGCCTGCCCAGGATCCATCTCCTTCTGGAACTAGGATTTCATCCCTCTTCTACTCTCAAATCCAAGTAGTTAGGAGGATGACCATGTCACCCGATCCTCTGTTCCAGAGCTAAACATATGACCGTAAGCATCAGCAGTCAATTCTCAGCGACTAGATAAATAATTGGTCCCTGTGATCCAGGCCAGGCCAATTTAAAGGAATCCTGCAACTTTTTCTGGGTCCTCAGAGAAAGAGCTCACATTTCCATGGGGGCTGAACTTAAGCATGACAGTGAAGCTGTCACAGAGGAACACAGAACTACAAGATGAAGACAGAGTTCCAACAGCACTGTTTCAAGACCTGGATCCAACCATGCCTGAAGACAATATCCCTCAGCTTTTCAGTCAATAGATTCACTTCTTTACTTAGACCAACAGTGTTGAATTTCCACCACTCAAAACTGAAAGGGATTGGCAACTAGAGAAAGCCAGCGACCTGCCCAGAGTCACCTAGCAGGTTAATGGTAAGGCAAGGAGAGTTGTCCAGAAATGGAAAGGACTGGAAGGAGGAACAGGGGTGTGGCTAGGTTGGGGGCTTCTGGGAGAGATACCTGGGGCCTGGAGCAAGGGGGCAACAAACTTAGGATGGACGAGCCGCAGTACAGGGTAGAAAGGCCCTATCCACCAGAGATGAACATCACGGAAGTAGTGGCCCAGATCCTCTATCATCCTCAAGCCTTCCTCATTGCTCTTCACCTGGGGATAGCAGGGGCGGGGGAGGGGAATGAGGCCAGGTCAGGCAGGAGACCCCAGAAGGTTACAACTGCCCACTGCAACCCCTCACCCCCTTCTGCTTGCATTATTAGTCTATACCTCTACATCTCACTAAGTCAGCTTCCTTCTGTTGGTCTATTTGTCTTTTTGTGTGCCTATCTATCTATGAGTCTCTCCATGTCCCCTCACTCTCTTCATCTGTCTCTTTAGGTAGTTGATAGATAGCTAATTGATAGATATATTGATAGATAGATGATTGAGATAGATAGATAGATAGATAGATAGATAGATAGATAGATAGATAGATAATGGATGAAGGAAGATGGATGAATGGACAGATGATGGATGGGTGGATGGATATATGGAAGATGGATGGATGGATGGATGGATTGATGGTTGGATGGATGGATGAGTTGATGAATGGATGGGTGGCTGTATGGGTGGATGGATGGATGGATGGATGGATGGATGGAGAGAGATGAAAGATGGATGGACAGATGATAGATGATATGTGTTTGCGTCTGTATATGTGTATGTATCTTTTACACTCTGTATGTCCTCTGTCTCTCTCCCTTTGTCTCTGCATCTCTCTCTTTATTCACCCCTATTTTTCTTTCCATCTCTTCCATTCCCTGAGTCTGTGCTTCCTCACCTCCATGCCCTCTGTGGCTCTCCAGAGACCTCAGAATAAACTCCCTGCCTTTACACGGTCCTGCAGCCCCCCTGGCTCTGCTGTCCTCACCACCTTTTCCCTTCCTCTCACTGGCATCACTCTCACTGCACTGAATTCCTTCCTGCTCAAAAACCAGGTGCTCACTATGTCCCCTTCAGGCCTTTAAGTGGCTATTCCTCTCCACAGCCTATACTTTATCTTTTTTTCTTTAAAAAAAAAATCCTACCCATCATTCCAGACCCACTTCCAACAACTCCTCCTCCAAGAACTCTTCTAGCCTGCCCAAAGAGCAGAGGCCTTGCTTTCCCTTGGGTTCCCCCACCACCCGTCTCTCCCTGAGACCCACTCTGACCACCCAGAATTGGGGGCGTCTCTAGCTCTACATGCCCAAGATTTGAGTTCCTCCAGGACAGAGCCTGGGGCTGAGTCTCTCCAAGCATCCCAAAGCAGTGTCCAGAAAGGAAGAAATGGCCAATGGCACTTGGCAGCAGCAAGGGCCTTGGGATCCACAGGGACTTCCCAGAAGCTTGGTAAGGAGGGGCTTGCAGCCCTCAGATGCTGGCTGCTCCGGGGCTCGCCATCATGTTTTCCAGGTGAGGACATGTGGCATGGTGACAGACCAGGCAATGTCAGGATGGCAAAAAACAGTAAGACCCCAGGCAGAACATAAGTCCCTGGGTGTAGGTAGCCACCCTCAAGTCCTGCTCCGTAGTGGGGGGTGGGGAGGGCTACAAATAAGACAGGGGGTGTCACCTCCACAGAAGGAGCCGCACCAAGGCCCCCAGCAGCCTCTACAGTGGACAGAGTGTCCAGATTCTCCCTGGATGGAGGGAATCTCTGCTTCCTACTGTTCCTTCCCTCTGGGGACAGGAGGGTCCTGGAGGCTCTCCACGTCCAAAGGATGCATCCCAGGACACAGGGAGAAGACATGCTCTCTCCCCACAGAGAGGCTCACCTTGGCTTGAGAAGTGGGGTTTTTCTCCTTCCAACCTCAGAGAGGTCCCCATGAGGGAGGTTTGTGGGCAGCCAAGTGGCCTCAGGACTTGTACTGGACTCATCCCCGCATCCTGTCAGGTCCTGGCCAGTCCACACAGTCCCCAGTTTCCCACATGGTGATGCATCTGCAGCCCTTCCAGCCCTGGTAAACCCCAGGGGACAGATGTGAACTCTGGTCATCAGACAGGAGGGCAGCTCCCACCTATGAGCCCCTACTGCCTACCAGGCTGTACATAGTGCATCCTGTCTATCTTTCTCTCTCTCTCTCTCTCTCTCTCTCTCTCTCTTTTTAAGATTATTTATTTGTTTATTCATGAGAGACACACACACACACAGAGAGAGAGAGAGAGAGAGAGAGAGGCAGAGACACAGGCAGAGGGAGAAGCAGGCTCCATGCAGGGAGCCCAACATGGGATTCGATCCCGGGTCATGAGGATCACACCCTGGGCTGAAGGCAGGCGCTAAACTGCTGAGCCACCCAGGGATCCCTCTATCTCTGTCTCTATCTCTGTCTCTATCTCTATCTCTATCTCCATCTCCATCTCCATCTCCATCTCCATCTCCAACTCTATCTCCCCTGCACTTATGGACTCTTCCATCAGACATGCCCTTTACATAGGGATCCCTGGGTGGCTCAGCGGTTTGGCACCTGCCTTCTACCCAGGGTGTGATTCTGGAGTCCTGGGATCGAGTCCTATGTCGGGCTCCCTGCGTGGAGCCTGCTTCTCCCTCTGCCTGTGTCTCTGCCTCTCTCTCTCTCTTTCTCTCTCTCTCTCATGAATAAATTAGTAAAGTCTTTTAAAAGAAAAAAAGACATGCCCTTTACAAATGAAGATTACCAAAGTCACATCCCCTAAAAGGAGAAGGGGGGGTTAGCCTGGTGAGGCATCCCCTCCAGTCCCTTGGGGTGCCCCATCCTGGCCTGACAAATACTCTCAGGTGAGCCAAAAAGGTGAACAGAAGTCACTTTCACCTTTGTGACTGCCTTCCCCACCCCCTCCCCCGATCCCCAAGGACCCTGAGGCACTTGATGAGATTGGACCAGAGAGAGAGAGTGACTCAGCTGAGGTCACACAGCGAGAAGGAGGAGAAAGAGTGACCCAGACCGGTTTCCATGGCCAAGCCTTAGAGAGGGCATAGAAACTGCTGTAACTTTATAACATTCCTGCTACCCCCAGGGCTTGGTAAGAAATTTCCAAGACCTAGAATTTTAGGTAACCTTCAGGACAAGCTTGGGACATTCTGTCCTGTAATGAGCTGGTCTGCTGGAGGGGAGAGGAGGAGTTGGACACCCATCACGTTGGCATTGGATGACCAAGGAAGGTGATGGTAAGTTCACTCGAGCCTAGGACATGGCTTCCACCATGACATCATCAAACATTTATTAAGTGCCAACTGTATATCAGCTCCTGATCTAGATATTATAGATATCAGGTCTGTCCCCCAGTGCTGTTATCTAGTGGGAGAGAAGGAAAACACACAAATAATTGGACAATTTACTGTTTAAGCTTGAACAGGACAGAGTCAGAGGTCAAGGTCTGATGGGGAGGAAGTGAATCGAGGCTTGGAGAAATTACACTTGCACTGAAAATAGAATGAAAAAGAGGGATCAACCCAGTGGCTGCAGGAAGGGAAGCCCTTCTTGGCAAAGGAGCAGTACAAGTAAAGGTCCTGAGATAGGAATGGTTTGGTTCATAGAGGAGAGAAAGGAGCAGCTTGGAGTGTCTAGGATATGCACAGGGCCTGGCAACATTAAGTCTCTATGTTCAGAATGATGGGCAATCCGATAGAATGATTTTCAGCCAAATAGTGGTGTTAAAAGCTAAACTTCAGAAAAATCTCTTCAAGACTAAAGAGGAGACAAGAGTGGCCAGGAAGAGCCCAGGGAGTTGGAGAGAGAGCTTCCCAAGGAAAGATGCTAAAGCATATGGCAGGAGAAGTGACAGGAGGATGCAGAGAAGGGATAGATTGAGGAGAGGCTATAGAGGCAGCATGTCTGGCTGTGCTGAAGGACCAGACTGCAGGAGAGAAAAGAGGGAGGCCAGGGGCCCCAAAGCATGAGAAGTGGGCAAAGAAAGGATGGACAAGATGGAGGGTGGGACAGGATTGAAGAGGGAGCCTGAGTTCAAATTCTGACTTGATAGAATGAGGTGCTTAGGAGACCTCACTCAACCAGGGGAGGCTGGGGTTGGAGAGACCTGAATTTTTAATTCACTTGTGGAAGGAGCCCATGACCCACTTGGTAGTTAGACCCGGGGTAAGGTGATGGCCTTTGGATCCAGAGAAGATGGAGGGTGGGTTGGGACCCTCAGGTCTTCCCACATGGAAAGGTTGGGTGAAGGAGGAGCCCAGTGGAACCCAGTGGAGGGCGGTGTGCTGGAACACTAAAACCCAGAGAACAAGGAGGTTCAGGCCTGATGCAGTGGTTCACAAGGTCAGATTGCTTCTGGGAGGTCATGAGGTCATGGTCATCTCGTGGAAGCCCAACAGGGGGTGGGAACCAGGCTGGAGCAGGTGAAGATTGGCCAGATGGGGGCAATAAGTAAAATAAGTTTGGCCGTTAAGGTTGAGACCAGAGTGATTCCTTCTCAAAGGGGAAGTGGTCAACTTTTATCCAAGCTGGGTGGTGGGGCCCATTGATATACACCGTGGGGGTGGGAGGCAAGATTACAACAGGAGGAAGAAGAAGAAAAGGATAGACAGTCTACACCTCTCCTCTGACCCAGTTGCAGGGAGGGAAGGGGAGAAGTCATAGTTGATTCCTGCAGGGAAACCGAAGCCCAGACAGGAGCACCTGCTGGCCTGAGGCCAACAAAGATGGGCCAGGCAGGGAGCAGATCCTGGACGATGGCCCTGAGGAGACTGTGGGGGCACCAGGGGACCCGGCTCTGTGCAGCCCTTCACCGCTGTCCCAGACCCCAGCCCCACCCCTGAGCCCCATTCCCGAACCCGCAGGAAGTCCATCCCCTGACACCCCAAACCTGTCCTCCCACCCACACTCACCAGGCCCAGGTGACCCCAAAACCAGTTGCGCTTCGGAGGCTGCGGGAAACACCGCAGGCGGCAGCAGTTGTCATAGAAGCTGTAGCTCCAGGTCAGGACCCGGGCCAGAAGCCAGGTGGCCCCAGCCAGCAGCAGGAGCACCCATGGGGAGGCTGCAAGCTGCCCCAGTCCCAGCCAGGACAGGCTCACCTGCAACATCCTGGGGCAGAGGGACTGGAGGGTGAACCCCTGAGGACCAGGACTGGGGCAGAAAGGTGAGCTCGGTGAACTGCTCACTTCAGAGGGAGAGGGCCCCGGATGGGAGGGGCAGGGAGGGGCAGGGATGGTGAGCGCTGGGAAGTGGGCAAACAGAGGCTCAGAGAGGAGCGGGGAACCCAGGGACTTCCAGAGGCAGAAGCAGTGGGAGAGATTGGGCTGGAGGAGGGAGAAGGAGAGAGACTTATGAAAAAACACTCAAACTCAATCAGTGGGAGGTTGCCTTGAGATCCAGTTACAAGGAAATCATCCTCCCCCAGCCAGCTGGATTCCCGGAAGCTTTTGCCTGCAGCAGTGTCTCCTCCCCACCCCCCAGACCCAACACTCTCAACCCTGCCAGCCCCAGCCTGTCACCTTCTGTCCGGAGGGATTTAGGCCACACAAGCTCCACTCCCCTCCTCCTGGTGGGTCTTTGTCCCTGGCCTCTGACCTCTGAACTGGGGGAGGCTGGGCTTGGCTGGGTCAGCCAATGGTGGCATGCCCGTCTGCCACCTCCCCACCTGGCAACCGCCCAAGACCTGAGGACAGAGCCAGCAGGCTACACAGAGAAACCAGTCCAGGGTCACATGGTCTCCGCGCTGGTTCCTCAGGCTCTGTGCCTCCCACGTGGGGTTGGGGGTGAGTTGGGGGATGGGCAAAAATGGCTGGGGTGGCCCCCATGTTAACAGTCACCCTGCCCTTTCAAGGCCAGCGTGGCAGGTAAAAGCTTGAACTTGAGAGTTCAGGGGCCATGGGCACAGGGTTGGGCCAAGCCTTGTCCCAGTACATCTCTGAGGCTCCTTTCTACGTGTAAGTCAGGAGGGTGTCTTCACCATTTTCCAGCACAGAATCAGGAAGCCTCTGGCCTCTGGACTGCACACCCTGGCAGGAGTTCAAGCCCTGCCTCCAAGCAGCCCATGGACCTGGTTGAGATAGGACTGCAGAAACAAAAAACCGGCCAGGCTGGGGATTACCGGCATCAGATCCAGGGATAAGGGGCCCATTCTGAAGAGGGCACCTGGGGGTGGTGAGGATGTGGGGGCTGCAGGATCCAGGAGAGGGTGGGGCTCAGATAGAGGAAGCAGAGCTGGGAGACCCTGGGTGGAGTTCTGCTCCTCCTGCCTGGGCTGTGAGCTGTGCCAGCCCCCTGTGGGCTCAGTACTGCAATCTCGGAGATGGGTGTCAGATGAGGGCTTGAGACGGGGCACATCTTGTCCAGATCCTGTCCCAAATCTCTCTGTGAGGTGGTCTCAGCCCCTAACAAGGTCTGCCCATGTCAGGCTCCAAGGTGAAAGTGAGTTTCAGGGCCTACTGAGCAAGAGAACTGGAACAAACATTTCTCCTGGGATGACAAGATGCTAAGGAAAGGCATTTCCTCTCCCCCAACCCACACATTCCTTCTGGCCCTGCCTGATCCTGCGATCCTGCCGATCCTGCCGCAGGTGGCTGCTTGAAGCCCTCAGCAAGTTGAGGTACATTGTCCTAGATGTTCCTCCTCGGCTGGGGTGGATCCAGTCGCTGATGGTCCATCCAGAGAAGGGTCAGCGCCAGAGAGGTCTGAGGAGGAGCAGAAAGAAAGGAGGAAAGAAAGGCCTGGGAGGTACCCTAACTCCCTTGAGCCACACAGCAAAGCAATTCAACGTGATGGCACAGGTGAAGGTGAATCCTGGCACATACTGGGTGCTCATTAACTATTCAGGGAAGAAAGGGACTTTTGTAGCCAGGAGCTCTAAGAACTGACCACTCAGAAATATCAGAAAGAGAAACAGAACATGAGAGACTCCTAACTCTGGGAAACGAACTAGGGGTGGGGGAAGGCGAGGTGGTCAGGGGGTGGGGGTGACTGGGTGACGGGCACTGAGGGGGGCACTTGATGGGATGAGCACTGGGTGTTATTCTATATGTTGGCAAACTGAACACCAATGAAAAATAAATTTACAAAAAAAAAAAAAAAAGAAGAACTGACCACTTAATTTGTGGTCCTCAGACCATCGGCGTTGGCATTACCAGCAGCATCTTAGAAATGCAGAATCTGAGGCTCTAAGCCAGACCCACAAAGGCAGTGGCTATAATTTTTTATTTATTTATTTATTTGTTTGTTTGTTTATTTATTTATTTATTTATTTTTGCCATTGTCCCCAGTAAGGGGAGGAATTTATTTCCCTTCCTCTTGAATCTGGACTGACCTGGGACTACGTAACCAATAGTGTGTGGTAGAGGTTGTGCCATGCCAGTTATGGGCAACAGAGGGACAGCAACCCACACTGACATTTGCTCTCAGGATGCATCTCCAGCTGCCATGCTGTGAGGAAGCCCGGGCCTCACTCTTGGGCATCTCTGATCACCAGCCCCAGCTGACTTCCCAACAAACCATGAGTATCAACCACCCGCCACATGAAGGAGCCATTTGGACATTCAAGCCCAGTTGAGCCTCCAGATGAGCACAGCCCCGGACTGATGTCTCATGGAGCAGAACCATCTGTCTGAGCCCAGTCCACATGCAGTCACTGCGTGGTCATTGCTTTAAGCCACTAAGTTTTGGGGGCTGTCTGTTGTACAGCGATAGCTCATTAGTGTACCAACTGAATCAGAAATCTTGTTTTCACCAGATCTCCAGAGATTTGTGTGCACATCAAAGCTGCTCTAAGAGACCTGGGTCAGGTGACTGGGTAGCTCACTCTGTTAAGCTTCTACCTTCGGCTCAAGTCATGATCTTGGAGTCCAGGGATGGAGTCCTGCATCAGCCTCCATGCTCAGTGGGGAGTCTGCTTCTCCCTCTCCCTCTGCCCGTGCTCTCCCTCTCAAATGAATAAATAAAATCTTTTTTAAAAAAATAAAAAAAAAGAGAGACCTGAGTCTGGCTCTGTGATGTACCTTAGAGAACTTACTCTGTCTGTCCCTCAGTTTTTTTACTTGTCAAATGAGGAGAAAAATCTGTCCTTGCCAGGGCTGTGTGTTTATTGAACACCTTACCCTGTGCTGGGCATTATTCTAGATGCTTGGATGCAGCAATGAGCATGGCAGGCACTGTCCTTGCTGTCAAGGAGTTCATATCTAGTGGGGACAATGATCAATTGAATAAATTATCAAGAATGTATTGGACAGTGATTATGATGTGAGGGTTTCCAGGAGGAGGTGACCTTTGAGCAGGTCCTGAATGAAGGAGTGGATCGTGTTGTTGAAAGGGCCCCACAGTCATGGGATAATAGGCCCAGCCATGGGCATAAGCGAGTGTGTCCTTATTCCACTGACACCCACACTCTGATTACAGCCTAATGGTCCTTCAAGGAACCAGCCAAGGTGGCAAAATTTAGTCCAATATTCAATCTAGAAGCAGGTCCTGAAGATTGCTTCACCATATCCAAGAACTCAAACCCCAACAGGCGTCTGTGGCCATGCAGGGACAGAATCCATCCATCGTCCTCATTTCCTGGATTAGGTGACAGGAGGCAGAAAGGAAATAAGAGGCCCATTGAGGGAGGCAGGAAGCCTCAAGTGGGGACTTTCTGCTCTGAGTCAGAGGAGGCTGGAATGTCCATTTCTCATCCACAAGGAATGTCTCAGCTGCCAAATCACACAAACCTGGCTTATGCAATGTCGCCCAGCCAGTGTTGGAGGGAGGGCAGCCACACACAGAGAAGCAGAGCCTTATCCTTCTCCAGGGATCCTTCTACCCCCACCCAGAGCCAGGCAGCGGACAAGCATGTGTCAGACCAGAGGTGACAGACACTCTGTGGGTCATCGTCCCCAAGTATGGCCCGTCTGAGCATCAGTCTTCACATTTGTAAAATGGCTTGATAAAACCTCTCAGAGGACTGCAAGCGTTCTATCAGACACAGAGAGGACAGGAGAAAGTACACCTCTAAGTGATATGTGAAAAATGGTCCCATTTACATGTAAAACATTGTGCATATGGGGGGGTGCACATATTTGCATATGCACTGAAAAAGAATCCAGAATAATCCACACCTCATAGTAAAATTAGAGAAAGTAGAATTGGAGTCTTTACCCTCCTAACTTGCTACTTGTCTCAAATTCTTTCTCTCTCCCTCACTGAGGTGCTATAACTTTTATCACTAAAAAACTAATAGGATTTGGCATGGGGGCGGGGGTTTACATAGTTGGTACACAAAACAGATGAGCAGTTTTTCTTTTGTGTCACCATGGAGACACACCTCCCAGGAGTCAGCCTGGGGTCTCTCTAGAGCAAGCATCCAGGCCGCCTGGTGGCTGGAGTCCCTTTCCCCTTCCTTGGCCTTTAGGAAGGAACAAGTTCCGGATTCAGCACAACAGAGTTCATATCCTAGCCCTGCTCAAAGCTGGCTGTGTGACCTTGGTCAAGTCGCTTGCCCTCTCTGACCTTCATGCCCTTCTTGATAAAATGGAGGGGGAGACTTGTACCTCCCAAGTAGTTCATTCTTCAATAACAAACTGCACTGGAGCACCTACTCTGTACCAGGCATGGTGCTAGGACCCAGGACCTGGGACAAACAAGACAGATGAGGTCTCTGAATAGTGGTGCTCATGTCTGATGGAAGAAGCCAGTGGAAAATAAGACCAAGTCCGATGGTGGTAGTAATGAAGGAAATTAACTGAGTGAGACATGCCAGCGAGTGACCAAGGGGGAATATTCAAACAGGGCAATATTCAGGGAGGGCTGCCCTGTAGAGGTGACCTTTGAGCAGAAACCTGCGTGATAGGAAGGAGTGGGTCACCAATAAGGGCCGCCCCCTGAAGTGTGCCAGGACTCTAAATACCTAGCACTGGGTGGGGCACGCATGTTTGTCTTACACATGTTCATTCTTGCTTCTGTCCTCAAATGTGCTGAGACAATCAGGGCTGGCGGGGCCCCTGCAGTCAGGGCAGTGGGAGTAGCAGGAAGCAGCCCTGCTGGAGACCTGCGATGGTTGGGAAAATATGACCAGACATTCAGCCAAGAAGGTAGCGCTGAGGTTTCACTCCACATAATCAAGAAGTCGAAACAGACAGGCTCCTGAAGCTGTGTTGCGGCAGGACCAGCTGGCAGAAGACCAAAGGAACCGGCTGAGGAAGTAGAAAGCCTAGAGGAAAACTCAAGAAAAGTTCAGAGGGCACGCAGCAGCTAGGAACAACCACAGGGGCTTGTCTGTAGGCACTGTACTCATTGATAGCCTCCCTCCTCCTCCCCCCCTCCTCCTCCCCCTTCTGCTCCTCCCCTTCCTTCTCCTCTCCTTCCCCTCCTTCCCTCCCCCCCTCCTCACCCCCTCCTGCCCCCTCCTTCCCTCCCTCCTGCTCCCTCTTTCCCTCCCCTTCCTCCTCCCCTTCTGCCCCTCCCCTTCCTTCTCCTCCCTTAACCCCCCTCCCCTTCCGGCCCCCCTCCCTCCCCTCTG